CCCCTCCTGTAACTACGAAAACGGCTGTAGAGATATCACAGTTATTTAAATATTTTAGTGATCACGGAAACCTCGAAAAATCACATCAGATAATGGAGCAGAGTTCAAAAATGATATATCTTTGTACATTATACATAATCGAATTTCATTACACAACTCCAAGAAATCCGAACTCGAATAGTCCAATTGAAAGATTCCATTCGACACTACGTGAAAGTATAACGAGTTTAAAACTGCAAAATCCAAAATCCAAATAAAAGTATTATTGATCTAATGACAATCGCTATATTGAATTATAACAACAGTACTCACATTTCAAGTGATTAAAGGAGATTTGAATTATGCCATACCAATTGAACAAACAGCAAGTTTGGCAGAATCCCTTGCAAATTTGAATAAATAAATTCAAGAAAAATTATCAGCGAAACAAGCAAAGTTGTTTGAATCACGCAATAAAAATCGTGAACCTGAACCAGAATTATAAGATCCAATCTTCGTAAAACAATTTAATAGAGAAAAAATAAGTCCGCGTTATGATAGCAAAACACAGAGTCGCTTTTATTTTTTTAAACGACAATAATTTATTTCAGGTACCTCGAGATGAATCCTTTAGTATTTCTTACTCTCGTTGGAGTCACTCAAGCGTATACATTGATGACGGTAGAAAATCCTATTTTACCAATTTCTTTAGGAACTACTTACGTAACAACTCAACATAACACGGCCTTTTAACATATCACATAAACACGACAATTATGATACAAGGAATCCATAAATTATAGATTACTTTAATGAAATTATCTGAGACACTGAACAGAACAACATGGGTTTAACCAGTTTGTTGCACTGTTTCAAACAAATATTGAAAACAGTTATTCTCAAATTAGGATTATAAAACAAGTCATCAAAACCTATCAAGACCGTAAACGAAACAAAATAGGTCTATTAAATTTCATGGGCACAGCACAAAAATGGCTCTACGGAACCCTAGATGCTGAAGACGGCGCAATATATGATTCTTATATCCAGACGCTCAATGATAATCAAAAGACTTTCAATGAAGATCTAAAAACACAAGCTCAAGTATTGAAACCAGTTACAAAAACATTTCACGATCAATTTTCAACTATTGAATCTAACCAAAAGGTTATCACAGGAAAATTACAAAATATTTCTCTGGAAATCCAAAATTTCCGTTCGATATTAATCTTTAATATAATATTAAACAATATCGATATTCAAAGTAATAAAATAAGGAATCTAATTGATCATATGTAATTAGCAATAAATTTCGCACAATTGGGAATAATGCATTATACTATTTTACAGCATAATGAATTAAATCAAATATTAACAAATAAACCCAAGAATCAAAAAATACCTTTTGATAATAAAATGAAGTATTACGAGACAATGAAAACTCAAGTAAAAATCCAAAATGAGTTAATTATATTTGTTATACACACACCAATGATTGATCCCAAGCCCTTTATATTGTATAAAATCTATCCAATTCCTATCCAAGAACTTACTATTAGGAATAAATACCCTTACCTATATTACTTACTACGGACATTTACTACACCACTTTATGGAAATGCCCAAAAGTCCAAAATGTGTACCTTTGTAACCAAGAAGAGCTCAAGTAAGAAGAATCATGTGTCTATGACCTGATTATTGACCTACCACAACAATGTCCTTTTACTAAAGTGAAATATGTGAAACCAACAGTGAGACAACTCCCAAATGGACAACTAAATATTAGTCATCCCTAAGAAAAGCCTGACGATAGTTATTCAATGTGATAAGACAAACCATATGGAAAGTATAACCAATGCAATGCTAGTTTCTCTTGAAAAATGCTTTGTGAAAATATAAAATCAAACATTTTCAAAAACCAGCGAGAACTTCAGTTTTGAACTGAATATTCCAAAAATAGACATCCCTGAACTTCCAGAGAACTAAACAACATTGGAACTTCAAAAAATCAACCAAGAAGACTTAGAAGAAGCCTTAAAGACGACGAAACAGATTGGAGTTCACAATCTTGAAGAATTGTCATTTGAAAACTCTTATTTGAATAAACATGTAATCATAGGTTTAATTCTTGCTATTTTATTCATAATTTTATTGTTTTTACTGTTTTAGGAAGTTTAAAACTTCAGAAAAAGGTTGTGTAAGTGTGCAAATTGAATTGTCTGATTTGCACAAACAACAATCCACATTTGCAACATCTTAAGGAGGGAGGAGTTATATTAACTAATTGCCACGCTATAATAATCGATTATCCATTTTTTATGTGGTTTAATGTGCTTACCCCTTTCCTCTAAGACTTTTTTAATACATTATTGTAAAGTAACCATTAAATTGCTATATCGGCATTTAATTCTTATTTAAGCCAGCGCAGTCCCATAAGGAATGTTCATTTGTTTTCAAGCTTTTGCTGTAGCAATTTGGTCGACGTATTTTCTTTTGTCACCTCTGTATTATTAATTAAAATAAAATAAATGTTTTTTTAAATGCAAGTTTCTGAATCGAAAATATAATTGGTACTATCGTTGTCCTTTTTTTTGGCCTTGTTTAGATGGTTTTTGTTGCTTTCCTAATAAAACCAACGTGCGTAGGTTACAGAACTTGAAGTTTCTCTGTTAGGTAATTCTGAAATGTCTGCGTAAAGTGATAAAATATAATTGCAAGCCCTTGATTCCCTTCTTCAATAAAAAAATGTTATAGAGAGGATTTGAAATTGCGAAGAAATTTGATATGAAACTTGGCTCAACCTTTAACAAGTCATGAGGAAACCTTCATGCACACTTTCTTGGTAGGAACTTGAAACCAGTCCTCCATAGTGCAGGAGGTTGTGAATGAATACTACCATCGAGTATTACCAGATGTATAGCCTGATTCTATGGAAGGCGGACATAATCTTTTTTTGAATAAAATAGGGGAAAAATTATTTGTTACTGTTTCTTAGATATTCCACATTTCAAAACGGATATTGCGACCAGCAGGAAATTCATCAATCAATTGGTACACATCATTGCTGTTTTTCACACAACCTGCGAAAATCTTTTGATTTGAAGCACAGATACGCATTGACGAAATAGAGTACATCAGTGAAATGTGGAGGATTTATTATTCCCCTAGATATTTGAGATTTATACCTATATTGTACATTAATTTTCTGGAAGATAGTCAACATGTCAAAGGAACACATGATAGAATTATCAGAAGCAGAAATCTGTTGGGCAAACCTGAGGGCAAAACCTAGTAGAAGTATCCGTAATACCTTCACTTGGGCTCACTTACTATAATATTTCTTGTTCCCTGTGTTCACCACGATGACGAGATAAATGACAAAAAAGTTCTCAAATTTTGAGATTAGAATTGTAACCGTTTCAAACTTTTTCTATCTCCTTGTCTTAATTTGTTCCAAAATTTGATTATCATAATTTAGAGGAAGGAAAGCTATTTTTAGGCGTGTTCATCTCAGGCCCATATTTAACTTATACTTCTGTCATTGCGAAACCATAACAAACTAGAAAAAAATAGGGTTTGAATTGGAAGTTGGTCATCGTTGACTTTATAAGCTGCAGCAAACTCTTCAGAAACAAAAGTACCTACTGAGTTTATCTTGGAAACTTTGATTCTTTGATACTGATCATTGTTGTAGTATCGACATCAAAACTAATAAACTAAACGTATGTATGTCTAAGTAATTTTTAAACTTTTTGACAAGGGCTTCAGTATGATCTTCATGTATAAAAATCCTACCATGATATGCCGAGCACACTCAGTCGATAGTGAACAGTCTGGGCCAATTAGAGGCACAGTATTCCAATGAACAGAGCCAAAGTTAGTTTTCAACTTGATTTATTTAAAATGATGAAACAAAAAATAAACCAATTGGTAGATTTCTCTACCAATGATTATTTATTCCATATACCTAGGCACAGGCAATATAGATGGCGTGAAAAATATTGAAAGTAGATACTTAGGAGTAAACCTTAAAAGTAAAGGTCAAGTTGGTGACAGAATTCGATGTGCAAATCAAACTTCAAGTTGAATAAATATCATAAACTGCAAATAATTTGGAAGCATGCGAGTATATGAAATAATATAATCCTACAATTTGTGAAATGTATTACTTTACAATGTGACAAAATGTTTTAGCTTCTTAACTAAGAATATGTATAACTCCAACAGAGGTCCAGGCTGTTTAGAAACGAATAATAAGCTAGAACTATAAAATATACCTATATCTAAGAAGTATTTAGCTACATAAAGAAAGTAATCTGAATAGCATAATTTCGATTCACATAACCCGTTACGTTACAAGGTTAAATTAACCCGGCCATACTCCTTTAAAATAACCTCTCTGAGGCTTGTCGTTACAAGAGATAGAAAAACGAGGCATAATCTAAATTGTTATTACACTCACTTAACGCACTATTTACTGTCTTCAATGACAAATATAATATTTTATTTAAACCATCTTGCCACAATAATTTAGAACCTGCAAAATTATTTACTGTTTACTAATAACAATTTCTTCAGCCACAATAGCAAAATCAACGACAAAATCCAATTTTAGTTCGTTTGAAAATAAATTTCCAGTTTATAATAATTATCCTCGTGATCCGACTTAGCTCAAATTGGAATAATATAACTTGTGGTATTACAATACAGAGTATATTATCATATCTGTGTAAACGACCGAACTTAGGACTCAATAGTCTTGCTAAATGCTCTAATTTTTGTAGGGCTCTCTGAGTGATCACTCCAAAGGGTATAAACTCTAACTCTTCACCTACAATATGTTACAGTCGAAGCTTTTACCTTATGTTACTTATATTTCACCCGAGAATATATTATGTCTGATACCTAAAGTATTTCTGTCTATGAAACATTTCTCATTGACGGTAAAATACACTCCAAATAGTAGCTTTCATTGAACTACATTTTTATTAATGGTTTAAAATTGCAAAGGTGATACTTACAGGATTTGCTTTTATCGGCCCGTACAAACTCATTGTTACATAAAATGAGAATTAATGTCACTAAAGTCACTAAAACAGGGGGGCCGGGGCCCCCGTCTCCGAGTCTCATGTTACTTTAAAATCATAACCAATAATGTTTCCTAGTCATTTCTCAGAAACTCACTCGCGAAACCGGTATAAAATAACAATCTAGTTATTTTGATACGACTGCAAAAGCCATCAGTTTATTCATTCAAAAAATTGCATTTTTTCGGAATTCAAAAAAAACTTATTGGGAGAGCTCAAAAACGGCCAACGCTCCCGGAAAATGGACGAGAGTATGAGTTTCTACTAGAAAGCGGGTTGTAGTTGTAAATTTTACGTTCGGAAAACTCGCGCAACCATCGCGACGGCACTCTATCGATTCCCCATAGTCAGCGTCTCTGGCGTCGCGTCGAAACGACGTTGCCGTTCTTAACGAGCCATGCGAGAGCGTGTGTCGCTCATGAGAACGAATTCTATGATATGACAACCTCGGATGGCGGTTGAAATACACATTTTTAATGGTTAAAGTTCTTAACAGTTTTTCCTAAACGCTTAGAAAGGTGACATCGTGAGGTACCGCCTGGTTCTTCGAATGTCACGCAATTTAGAGTATCAAATTTTTGGTTATGTAGATCCATCTTAGTTCACCCTCTACCAAAAAGAATTGGCACGCGTAGTAGTGGATTAGACAAACTTGGAGGTGTGAGCTTTACAACACATATACCTTAGAAAAATTCGGCAGGAACAGCTATAAGCTCAGCCCAAGTAGCACATACATAATCCTGCGACTACGTATTAACCAAATACAACGTCGCTAGAAGTGCAGATACAGTGCAGATAAGTGACCGTCAATGATTTTTCGTTAAAATTACGTCGTGCCGTCGTCCTTAATATGTGGTCAAGAAATCAGACCTTTATCTAGCTCAATTTTGACGTAATAAATGAAAAGCAGTTTTAACGTTGAAGTGCTAACGTCAATCTGTCGTCCTCTTTTAAACGTCGTCTAAGAAGACCAATCATGAGGTAAGATAAAAATCGTAAAATGGACGTCATAAGGTTGTACCAAATTCAACGTTGCATTGAAGACGTCAATCCGTCGTTATTGTCATAGGTATCCTGTGACCTCTGAAACGTTTCAATAACGTCGTCTGACACGACCAATCATAAGGTCAGATAATGGTCTTAAAAAAACGTCCGGCCAACGTTAAAATTGGACACAAGTAAAATTTGGTGTAGCATTTCATACTTTTTGCGTCGTTTGTTAATAAACTGTCATCAGTCAAATAAAAACATAAACAAACAATATTTATTTATTGGTGGCGATACAAGTAAATGTTTACACACGTCAAAAAAAGTAATAATAATAAAACATTGCATAGGAATAACTAACAGGAACAATGAATAACATGAATAATAAATAACATTAATTAAGACATGTCACAATTAAAATATTCCTCAAAACTATAGAATGCTTTCTTAATTAAATATTCCGTAATCCTAGTTTTAAACTGCCTTGCTGGTAGGTTTCTTACTGCATTAGGAAGTTTGTTGAAAAATTTAATGGCCAGGTACCTAGGGCCGTCCGGACACCTCTTTAGTCTACAATACCCTGACCCTAGGTCATTTTGAGGTCGAGTATCATATGAATGAACACTACAGTTTGTTACATACTGGTACTCATTTTTCTTAAGATAAAGTACTCCAAGATATAGACAGATGGCAATGCCATTATATGAAGCTGATGGAAAGCAACCCTGCAGTCATCTCTGTAACCCAAACCCTGCATTATTCTAACAGCCTTTCTTTGGAGCCCAAAGACTCTCTTAGATTGGGCTGCATGCCCCCACGCAAGAATGGAATAGGTCATTGTGGAATGAAACAGGCTAAAGTAGGCTGTTCTTAGAGTATCCAGGGATACAGAATTCGAGAGGTTGCGAAGCATATATAAATATTTTGCTAACCTAGCTGTTACATTATCAATTTGGGCATCCCAAACCAGACCAGGATCAAGCTGGACGCCCAGGAACCTTACCCGCTGAACGATATCGGCATCACCTACGTCCCTCAGGGAAAACACCAATCTCTCCGTCTTATTCTGATTTAAAAGTAACATATTTGATGCAAACCAGGTCTCGACCCTTCTCTCCACCACTGCAGACTCCCTGACGGCTTCCTCAAGTGTAGATGCCCTGAGGGATATTGTTGTGTCATCGGCAAAGAGTGTAAACTTGGCATTTGGAGCCATTAAAGGTAAGTCGTTTATATATATTAGGAAAAGAATGGGACCCAGAATAGACCCTTGTGGGACCCCAACAGTTATGTCGCTTCTGGTCGATTCCACTCCTCCAACCCTCACTGCCTGGGTTCTATCAAACAGGCATGAACTCAATAAAGTTAGGCTATCAGGATCAAAAGAGAATGCTTGAAGCTTCCGCAGGAGAATGTCATGGGAGACGCGGTCGAAGGCCTTACTAAGGTCGCATAAAAGAGATGCAGTATACTCCATCTCATCAAATGACTGCAATACATAAGAAACCAACTATGCTCAGAGTGGTATTTCTGTCCTTCCTGAAACCAAACTGACAATCTGTGAAGAGCCTACCATGTTCAAAAAAGTCTGTAATTTGTTTAGCCATGCACTTTTCAAAAACTTTAAACAATGCAGGCAATATAGAAATGGGCCTGTAATTTTCAGGCAGATGTTGATTTCCTTTTTTGTGTATAGGTGTAATTAATGCATGTTTGAGAACTTTAGGAAAAATACTCTCACGAAAGCAACCGTTTATCAGCTTGGTTAAAGGAATAACAATTACATTCATGACAGACTTCGGCAGTTTGGTGCTCAAACCGTACACATCAGTAGTATTTTTACTTTTGAGGCTGGAAGTTATATCTCTTACTTCATTGAAAGTGACCTCTCGAAAAGAAAATGGTTGCTCGGGCAAGGAGAGGCCCCTCAAGGCTACCACAGGATCTACATGGGTCTTTGGTATATCCTCTATTCTCTATTAGATGGTGTGCCATGTTGGCAAAGTAGGCATTAAATTCATTAGGAGATATTTCACATTGTTCATTATGTTTTGAAGATAAATTTCTATGCTTATTGATTAAAGACCACATGCACCTAGTTGGATTAGCAGAGTAATTGATAAGATGGTCATTTGAATTTTTCTTAGCCTCTCGAATGGTATTTCTATACAAAGTCCTATATTCCTTAAACTCCTTTAAAAATACTGGATGACCACACTGCCTACTCAAACTGCCAAGTAAGTTGAGATGCTCACGCATAGCCCTCAGGTTATCATTAAACCAGCTGATGTTGCTATTCTGGTCCGATCTTACCAAGTACGTTTTTTCAGGGAATGACCTCAGGTAGGCCCTCTCGAAAACATTCATAACCATAGTACCTACACTTTCCCTCAGCATTCATCTCGCAAGAGCTCACAAAATCCCATGCCTCTGCAGTTATACACTCATGGAACACAAACATTCCTGACATTGTAATCGGTCTACATACCTTTCTTCCTAGTTCAAAGCCTCTGGGTAAGATGGCCACATTAAATTCAATCTGTTGACCCAGATGATCAGAAATGCTCAGATCAACAACAGAAGCAGAAACAGAACTATCTGAGAAGTTCACAAAGATATTGTCAAGACAAGCCAGTGATCTTGTAGCATCGATTATTGTTTTTTCAAAGCCAAAGCTCTTCAGCATATCACATTGTCATATAGAACCACCGCTTCATTCTGGTCAATTCCAAAATGGACATTAAAATCACCTGCTAAAATGACTTTTTTATTCACCCAGTTTATTCAAAATTCCTTCAGTGTTTCCCAAAAAGGTGTCAAAACTTCCCTGAGGAGGCCGGTAAATTGCTAAAACATACAGATTAAACAACATTCTACTAAATTCTACATAAACTATCCAAAAAATCCAATGACATCACATTGAAATTCTTATTTGCATATATAATAGACCCTCCCCCAGTACTATGTTTTCTGGTAAAGCAGCTGGCAGTTAAAAAGTCAGCAACTTGTGTGGTCTGAGTCTCTTCTTTTGTCATCCAATACTCTGTTAGCCCTACCACATTAAAGCATTTGTCAGCAAAGAATGCTTCAAGTTCGTTAACTTTATTTCTAAGTGATCTTACATTTAAGTGAAGAAATTTTATGTTTTGGAGATATGGCGTTACTATAAAAAGTTTTTAACAATTTGAATAAGTATTTGCTTTTGTATTTTTGATATGATATGGGACAAAACAGGAGCTTCAAATACTCATCCACAAAATATCAACAAAATAGGAGCCCGTTTGTTTTGTGTGCATATCATAATTTAATATTATTTGACAGAGAAGTTGACTTGGTTTGAAATTTTTATGCCCTCAGGAGCTAAATTTTTAGTTTCACGTATTTTATTGTTGACAAGGCCAGGCGCCATTATTATTTTATGTCCTCCAATATTCTTATAGGTACCTACCTATTCATTTTGTTTTTAAAGTGATGGTGATGAGTTGGGAAATAAAATAACACCAATAATAAACCAAAAGTGCGAATTTGGTGAAATATATTAAACCTGTGAAGAAAACCACCTATTTAAAATATTATTTCTTCAAATCTTAATTTTTTTAAAAAACGTTTACTGAATAAAAGTAGAATGTTGCAACCATGTATGCGCCGCGTTCGAGCCACAAGGAGCGGTACTGCGAACGGGAGCTAGAGAAGAGGCGATTATGCATTAGAGAGACTGCAGAACGAGCTAGACTGGTCCCTTAGAAAACGTGTCGCGTGTCTGTTATTATTCATTATTCAATTTGCATTTTTATTTTGCATTAAAATTGATTGTTCAATCCAATTTGTTATTAGTGTGTGTGTAAGAAGCGTTCACAGGTTAGTTGATTAATTATTATTTTATTTGTGAGCGTTCAATTTATACAAATATCATTTTTTCCATTTTTATTTTATGTTTTTTTGTTTGTTTATAATTTTTTTTATAACATGTGCATTGTTCATGTATTTAACAAAAATCGTTTCATGCTGTAAACAACACAGATAAAGAAGTAAATTAAAACCTAAGAAATTATGTGCTGTCTTTTTGTGCTGAGGTTTTGATTTTGTGGATTTAGAGCGTGCATTAGGGACTTGTTGAATTTACTAACATTTTCCTACCCTGGCGAGAGAATATCCTAACAAATTGAAATAATCAAACTAAAGATATTGGCTCAAAAACAACTATAGCTGTGAGTTACCGTAACCAGGGACCTCAGTCCCTGCCACAGATGGGCTAAGTAACCAAAATCTCT